CTTACGTATTTAACGTGGGCAGGAGTATTGGATAATCATTTAAATAATTATCTTCCAGCTTACGTATTTAACGTGGGCAGGAGTATAAGTTTATTAGAAACTGATATCTTCGTATATTCGGCGTATAATTCTGCTCAATTAAGTATTATAAGGAATTATTGAAATGCCGCGTAAGAAATGTGCTTTATATTCTCACTGGGGTTCTAACTACCGCTCATTATCTTCTTCTTCTTATGAATGGTTCCATCAATATCTTCGATCCAATGGAACGGTATTTGATCAGGACGACTTACATCTTTGCTCTGTTTGCATCAGAACGTTTTACAGTATTAAAGAAACAATGGTACCTTCGTCTACTACTGAACTAATGGACACAACGGAACAAACTAATGCCAATGTAGATGATGATCGGTTAACTCTGAATAACGTTATTTTTGCTGGTAGTGGACACAGTAAATGCGTTATTTGCCGTCAAGAAACACGTCGTTGGATGATATCGATGCCAAAAAGTGATCGATTAGATCTACTTATTATTCATTTAATGTACGCACCAAACGGCGTTCGTTGTTGTCCATCCCATCTACTCAATAATAATCGTTTATTACCTGATGTCGAGATAAGTATGTGAAATCGTCAACAACTTGCATCATCCCTCTCATCATCAGGAATGATTGATCTCGTGACTGATCTACTTTCACTCCTTCATGAAGCTGTTACATCTCCTCGCCTTGATTTTCTGGATCCTTCTTTAAATGATGAAGATTACTTGTCCTGGACAGACTGGACAAAAGCTCAGTTTGATATCATTTCTCCTTATTTACGTTCGTCTTCTAATCGTAATACTCGAAATGCTCTCGCCATGTTTTGGATCAAATTGAAAACTAATTTGTCTTTCCGACAAATAGGTTCTGTATTTAATATTCCAGGAAACAGTGAAGACGAACGCAAACGAGCTGTAGATGCATTCGATAGCGTTCGTCAATGTTTAATTGAGAAATTCGTACGTCGTCATTTAAGTGTCCAACACTTAACTAGAGAAGACGCCAAAAAGCAAAATACGAGTTTTAGTATTGAATTTTTTGGCAATAATGTGACTATAATTTGGGATGGAACATATCTATATATGGGCAAAAGTAGTTCGCACTTAATCAATCGGAAAACTTATTGTGGGCAAAAGTAAGTTTCTTTTTTGCATCGACTTCAAGATTACAAGTCTCTATTCTAGATATCGCCATTTAATTAAATTCATGTCCCTGATATTACCAAATGGATATATACTTGATACCATAGGCCCATTTTGGAGCACCATGAATGATGCCTCTATTGCAAAGAATATCACCGACACATGTGATATTCTCATGAAATGGTGCGAAAAAGGTGATACGATGATTGTCGATCGCGGATTCCGCGACGTTATTGAATCGTTTATTGATATGAGGTACGAACCGTGAATGCCCGACTTTCTAGCTAAAGGACAAAAGCAGCATATCGTAGAATAAGCAAACAGATCTCGCTTGATCACAAAAGTCCGATGGAGGATTGAATCGTACCATGCTCGTATGAAAAAATGGACTTTATTAAGTGGTCGGATTGAAAACGCTTACATCCCAAAAGTAGCTGATTGTGTACGTATTGTCTCAGTTGCACTTAACTGCTACCGAGGGCAGATTGGTCAGCATGCTATCAATAGCGACGATAGCATGCTTACACAATATATGCGTCAACAAATCGGTCGTAATAATATATTACAAGCTCGTGTTGATCAGGGCTTATTATCTTCTCGCTCTCGATGGAAAAAAATCGAAGACAGCAATTTCGATTTTCCACAGATATCTCTAAAAGACTTACGCCAATTATTCTTCGGAACATATCAGATAAAAATGGGACGTTCATATGTGGAGGAGCATATGAATAGCGATGGAGATTATATTATTGAAGTGGATAATTCCAACGACAATATCATACGCGCAAGTATACATAGTCGACACTCAAACGCTTCAATATATAAAGCTTGGATTCAATTTTCGCTTACCGAGGATCCAATTGAAGCATGGTACTGTCAGTGCACTGCCGGAGCGCTCAATGTCCGGTGCTGCAGTCACGTGGCGTGTATTATTTGGTATCTTGCCTATGCTCGACACAACAACTTCACACCATCTGCAGGTCGTCAAAGATTATTACAAGCCTTAACAAGACAAGAACCACAGACAGAAACAGATACTAATACTGAGTCCAGCTCAGAAGATGAATGAACTATTTACAACAAGGCAACACTCATCTATGTTTCTCTACTGTAAAAGTTTTAACACTTAGATGCTATATACGTTAACATCGGCTAAATAAAAATAACACCATGATGCTATTCATTTAGACTAAATTCATATGAAAAAAAAATTCAGGAGAGGAGTACAGAGTATTATAAAATACTAGATTTATTGCTTTCTGAGAACTTCAACATGTAACTGTTACAGAGCTGTAATGATGAGTCACATTGATGTATAGTAAAGATCGGTTAAGGACGTCTATTGAATTAGCTCATAGAACACTATTTAACGTAGTTATCCTTACTCAATGAAAAGCTGATGTCAATTTTCATAGACAAGCTGAAATAATTTAAAAAAATTGTTACACCTGTCCCAAAAAAACATCGATATACGAGTAAAATAGCGACTACTCAAAAGTAATCATCGAATATCTTATATTCGGGACTATAATTCTTTCCTTCAAACTTACACCATTTTGTAGAGCAAATGATGAGGAATTTTGCTATGGCAGTCGTCATCTTGTGCAAATGATCGTTAGCCAGAAAACTCACTTGAAACTTATCAAAAATAATCGTTTAATATGTTTTTTTGTATATGTTCTTACATTTGTGAGTCTTATAGACCCTGATTGCAACAATTTGAAATTTATCTATTTATACCATTTTGTAGAGCACGAAAAACTCTATCGATCTACACTATGAGTTTTCATAAAAAGTTTACAAAAGAAAAATTTTGAATACCATAATTATTATCCGGGAAACCCAAAAATGATATACCTCCCAGAGATTATTTCGTCCTTAAAAATGTTTTTTGGTATTGACAAAAAAAATAAATCAATATATAAAAATGTGCAGAATCTCATGCTCTATCTTTCTACACTATTGAAGTTGAAATCTAGGGGGGTGGCAGATTTATGATCTTATCCGGCGGGGTCCTTTCGTACAAAACTTGTCGAAAAACGTTATCCAAAATCTGTATTTTAAACATTTTGTTTTTCAATATACAGTGATTATAATCCTGTTATTAACAAACAAAAAAACATAGAACACTTAAGTAAATCTATTCAAGAAATTTTTGTATTCATAAATTTTTCTCCTTATAGAAAATATGGTCGATATGCTCGAAATGTTTAACATAAAAAAGATCTTATACCATCAAAAGATTTAACAGTACATGAAAATATATCATTAAAATCTAATAGAACAAATAATACAGGTGGAATTAAAACATTAATGAGTTCAATATGACACTGAAAAAATATTTTAATACGTACACCAGAACCTGTACGACGTAGTTTAACATTAGCAAATACAAGTTTACCAAAATCTTTAACATTACATAATAATGATCGTTCATTAACTGGAATTTCAACAATGAGAACATCCTCAACAATACATGAATGTGATGAAGAAATTGTTGGAAATAATAGTGATGATGATGAAGATGAAGATAGATTATCGAGTATAAATTCTTCCATTCATTGTATTTTATTAGAATTTTGATTTTTCTTTTAGCTGTAATTGATGAATGAAATAATTATTCAACAATATCAAATGAAACAAAAAGTCTTGAATGTTTTACTTAATAGTTTTGTTTATAAAGATTTTATACGACAAGGTCTTATTGTAACAATATTTTCATCATCATGTTCAACCATACGTACAACAACTGTTACATCACTTACATCAACTATTTCATTACCTGTTTCATCAAAATATAAATGAGAATAATTTGAATAATAATGGACAACAATTAATTAGTTCAACTAATAGTAATAATAATAACAATAATAATAATAATAATAATGGAATGAATATATAACAATAGGAGGAGGAATGACTATAATGTCAACAATTAATACGTTATTGACTACTAGTGATCATACTTTTCGTATCTCACATATTAATCAAAATTTTGGTTTTTGTAGAAGATAAATTAGTAGTAATTGACTGATATTGATACTGATAGATTATCGATCCAAACTAAAGGAGATTCGAAATAAGTCATTGCTTTTTATTAATTTAAGGATATAAGAGAATCTTCTAGAAGATAGATACGATCTCGAAGATGATGCAGAGAATAATGTGAGCACATACTTATAGAACGTTTCAGTGAAAAGTATCAGAGATCGTCTCGAGTAGAATCACGAAAAAGGTGACTTACACCAATCACTAATAAGTATACTGATACTTGACACTTTGACAATTAAACTATTCTGCTAATTTTTATCGTATTATTATTGATTGTTGCAATACAGAAATTAGAACTAACTAATTCTGATCAGAGATCATTGGATCCTACCCGAACCCGGATTCAAAAGTCTTGAATCGAGGGGCTCTGTAACATGAACAATCTAATGTGTTGTAGATGTCGTATACAAATAATAGAGAAATAATATTCCATCTTTGAAGCTACTTTCAAATTCAAATAGGAAAACTTTATTGAAGATATTATCAGTATGAATCTGTGTTCGAAAAATTTTAAACCCAACAATTTTTAACTCTGACATCTCAAAAAAACTTTATGATATTTCCCGAATCTTACGAAATCAGATCGATCAAAATAAATTCGAAATTGTATCAATTTGAGGATTATTAAATCATATTAGTGATAATCATCAGTAAAATACGATTAAATATCCAAACATTTATTTAAAAATTAAAATGTGACTCATCTCGCTTTAATCTATCGAAATTATTGAAATTGCGACTCTTTTTTGATTCAGTATCATCATTAACACTGACGAACGGATGTCTAATAAGAATGATCTATGATATAAAAATAACAATCGAGTATGAATCTCAAAATTCTAAGCTTACATTTTACATTTAAAATGTAATACATTTACTACATCTGTTTATCTTTCTAGCTATCCATTGATACTTGTATTATATAAAGATATTCTCAACTAAAGTTTGAAGTAAATATCACGATGTCATAAACTTCAACGGTAAATTAATACAACCTATCTTTTTACTTTGATAGAATTTTTTCTATTCAGAGTTCCTGTTAGTGTTGTTTGGCGTAATCCACGTACAAAATCTCTTTTATTACGTGGTTCTGCTTTTTTTGATAAAGGTTTTATTAATTTACTTGTCAAAGGTTTACAAACAAACAAATACAAGTACATATAATTAGTTCTTCTAATTAATTTTTCAAATCAAAAAATTCTTTTATTTAGGTTCATCAAGTGATACAAATGCAAGTATAGAACAAGAACATTATTTTGATGTTATTGTTAAATTAATAGCAACAAAAATGTCATTTTCGACTGATCTTGGTGATGATGATGAATCAGAAACAAGAATCAATTAATATAACACGATTATCTGTTCGAAAAACAACACATCATTCAGCAACAAATCGTTTACAAAATTTTTTACCTACACATGTCTTCTATGATCTCCCACGAACAAGTAAATTTTCAAATTTCTTTAGTTGATATATGAGGATGAGTATTTGGTATATTTGTATAACAAATTTTCATCTCTCGAAAAACCGGTAAATAGTAGAAATGAAAATACTTCGAATATTCGATTGATAACTAAAACTCGTATTTCTGCTCTTTTTCAAAAGTTCAACTAGTGCAACATTGACGAATATATATGCGATTGACAATGGGTAAACAAACAAGATGACCATGGCTTACGCCTGTTCATTTTTATATCTATTCGCATCCGGTTTTTTTTAAAATTCTATTTTCAATACATCAGCTTATTGCTTTGAATGAATTTTATTCTATCAGATTATTTAAAATAATATTCAATTCCTTTTTCATTATTTTAGCTAATGTTAATACTCATTCAAATATTGACACATTACCATGAAGTGAAACAGCAAGTTATACATCAATGAATTCACTAACACTATCATTGGTAACAACAAGTGAAGGTGATCTAAGTGGATCAACAAATTATTTGATATTGATTTTAATGAATTAATTTTACAAGTTTCCGAGTGAATATTGTCATAAAAATCTGATATTCAAGATTCGATGCAGTTTTTTTCTCTTTTAAACAATGAAAACCGCAGCTCTCGATCTTGTTCCTATCAAAAATGATTCGCAATCAAAGACTGCCCGGTTACTTTTGGACCATCCTATATAATTAGCCTGGGTGGAGAAGTTCGGTTTGAGCGTTCGACAAATCATGAACTGAGAAAAAACGAAAAAGATTTTTCGATTTCACCAAAAACCAGGTTATTTTTCAAGTAGGCAGTGACAGAAAACATCAAAAATTTTTGCTAAAATGATGTACGAAATAAAAAGCTATATCTCTTTTGAAAGGGTAGACTTTCGACTATCTTCTCACACACTTATCTCAATTTTCATGTTTTTGACGAAAATTGACTTTTTTTGGAGGGGAGGGGAGGGCTTAAGATCTGACTTTTATGCAAATTTCATTAAAAGAACCTCATTTCATTTTTTTGTGTTTTTTTTACGTTATCAGTATTTGGTTGGGTCAAAAAACTTTTGGCCCATCAATGAAAATCTTACCCATTTCGCCCATCATATTTTTCTAGCATAAGAGAACTTTGCCCATTGGTCGAAAAATCCTGGCTACGCCACTACAGATGATAAAGATATGTCTGTAAGTCTGTTCGCTGTATTGTCAATCAATAAAACTAAGTGAAATCAATTGACACTTTTAGTATATATTATTGTCGTTTGCCACAATTGAAAGTCCAGTGATGAAATAACAGTTCTCTCTGTAAACAACATCCTTATAAAATGATAGAAACAGATGACTGTGTCAAGGCTAAAGCTGTTTTATGTCTGCTACCGCTTTCCTGGAGAGTCGAATCCTCTTCTATATATATTGAATAAGAAAAATAAGATTGAACCATTTTTTAAAAATCTTACTCTATGAAATATTGTTGCTAAAGTAAACATCATAAGCGATACCATATTCATCAATTGAAGAGCTTGTCCGAAACAAGAATGTATCAATTATGTTTCAAACTGGAATAACTTAATTCTTACTTGAAGAGCACAACTAAGTAAATTAGCAATCATTTCAAATTGTTGATTATTTAATCAAGGTTTATTTTTGTTTTTTAAATGATACTAATTCAATACATAAAGCAATTCGAGCATCTTTATGACACTTAATTGAATAAAATACTACACCACTCGTCTATTAAAATGACGATATTTAAATATAATTTAAAAAAAAAAAGCTTTTTTGCTTCAGCAATTTTATCACTAAAAATAAACCCAACACATTGTTTTAATATTTCTAAACGACGAGCTGAATAAGGTCTACAAAAAAAACGAAGAATTAAACAAAATTATTTATAAAAAGTAAATCTTCATACCTGCTATTTTGTTGTTTTTTTATTTCTTCTTTAATAGCTGTGTTAACTATGTCTTTATCCAAATGTGGAAATTCTGGTATATTATCTCGAATACAGCTAGTTTGTGATGGTTGTGATACTTTTGAATATAAGTTTGTTGAGTTAATGGATTTTTCTAAAGTAAAAGATAAAGAAATTTTAAAAAAAAGAAATTTTTGTTTTTACATTTAATGAAAGTTGATTTGCTAATTCTTTGATATGTTCAAGAACAGCAATTGAAGAATTATTTATTATTGGATCAATTTTACGTTTTAATTGATCATAAATAGTTGCATAAACTTCATCAAATATATCACATGATTGAAAAGGTGGACCATGTTCTTCAATAAATTTATGAAATGACATTGAATCAAGTACACGTAACATAAATTCATCATTAACTAATCGATGATGACCAAGAAAACTTGCCTTTAAAAAAAAGATCATTTCAAATAATCAGAGAAAAAAAGTAAATACTTTATGAAATGATATAACTGGTTTTGGATTAATACGAATAATAAGTAAACAAGAACGATAACCAGCAAATAATTCCGAAAAAAGACGAATAAAAATAGCACGAATTTATTTATCTTTATTTGATTCATCTTTATATTTTGGATAATCAGCAACTATTTGACCTCCACTATCTTGTCTTAAATTCATACGTCCATTTAATTGAAATGCTAAATCAGCTGCATGAATATCAGGTTTAAAAATCTTAATTTACAAAAAAAATAAAATCTTTATTCAATTTTAAAAAAGAAATCTTTACTTGAAATAACGATGATAATATACGATTATAGGGTTTTTCAGGCATTGGTGCTAATTTAACATTTTCTGTTACATGAACACTTGCATCATCTAAATCAATCCATAAACCATCAAACTAGATACAAATAAAAATAAATGATAAGAAAATAAAAAAGAAAAAAAAATATCTACATTAGGTAATGCTTGTAGTTTTGGATCGGAATGAACACCGATTATAAAAGAAGTTTGGTCCATCAAGTACTTCGATCAAATCAAATGAAAGCACGAGTATAAATGTATAACTAAAGGGAGAAAATCTAACCAATGAAAAAATAATAATAAAGATAGTTAGTTTATACCAACATTTAAGTGGATATAAAAGAGATTCCACAGCTTTACAAGCTTCAGTTAGTTTCCAATAACTTCTTGAAAAGAATAAAATTTTCATATCTGACAATGCAGCATAAAAGATTGTGACAACATGATCAATTTCTAAAAACAATAGAATTTTTTTATGAATACAAAAATAAAAGAATTTACCTGATTCTTTGAAAAGATTACATACAGATAGACCAGTACAAGGTACAGTTGGACTAGCTGGTGGTTGTATCACTTGTCTATCATCAGCACCAATTGAAAAATGAAGAGCATGTCCACCTGGTGGTAGTACATTAACACTATCAAGAATATTACCAACAAGTGTTTCAATTCGAATATCTGACAAAGGTTCGATATACATTGTATAAACAAGACCAAGACAATTCTAAATAATATCGTAATTCATTTAAAAAAAATGGTTTGTATATGAATCTTAACACGCGAATAGCTATTAATAAGTTATTTCCTATAGCGTGCAAGTAAAAAACTTACTCTAAATGCTTCAAAACAATCCAATTTTGATGTAAGAAACAAACATTTTGGTGCATACATTTGAGTTCTAGGTAATAAAAAAGCTGTATTATCTGCTTCATTACTACAACCATTTTTTTTATTAAATAAATTATTTGTTGGTGCTATTGTTGTTGGTAAAAGTGTTTGATGAAATGTTAAACAAGCACAATAATGTCTTAAACCATCTAAATTC